CTTGATGTAGTGTCTTTCCCTTATCTGTAACCTTTTGCTTAATTTAACTCTCAAAATGTGTAAGGTTTTCCTCTGTTTACATAAGAATCATCTCTGTATTTGAAATGTTTAGGTATCTGACTGAATGCTGCATGATCTTGTTTAGTTCTTGATTATATATCATGTCCAGAACTGCCCTAATCCTTGCTCTTTTGATAACTCTAAAACCATGTCCAATCCCTAAAGTCTCATAGGGATCATGGTTAACGTTATCTGAAATTGATGATTTATTAGGAGTATGATTTGTAGCAATCCTTAGGAACCCCCTGTTGTGGTATGCAAATATACATTTGTTGAAAGCCTTGATCATGTCCTTGATGTCTTCAACAACCACTGAAAAATGACTAGTCATGACTGTGTTGCCTGAATTTACATTGCTCATTCTCTTTAAAAGTATTAATGTGGCACTGCGAACCTATGTATGTGCTGAAAACAAAGTCAGCCAGTTCACACTAGATTTACCATACACAAGGAGCCTCTATATATGCTGAGTTGTTGTTGTATAGCTTTAACTTTCTTTGGAGTATTGCATTACTGTAAATTTGGAGTGTTGTAACATGTTGGGGATGTTTTTAATGTTCACCAGTATGAGTTGCAGAATCAGATTTTTTCTTTCATGTGATGTATATGTTTGTTTGGTCATCCAGTATAGTCTATATATTCTTATGATAGGAGGGAAGGTATATATTTTGTAGTAGGTAATGCTAGAGCACTTGATTTTCATTGGAAGAGCCTCATTGGCATTTAAACCCATAAGGAAAACATGTTGTTAGTGTTTAAGGGTATTTAGGAGCGGAGCTCGACTCTAGGTTGGGCTGCCCTCCCCGGTACAAGCATTGCCTTGGGCCTTGAGTCCCTTGGGAACTTTGAAGTGTCGGGGGATCCAAAGAGAACATCGACCTCGAGTGGAGCTTCCTCCTTAGCCCTTAATTCATTGACACATTTAGTTCTTTGAGGGTTTAATGTTTAATGACAATGAAAGGTTTTCAATGTGAATTATTTATTAAGTAAAACCACCATATTAATATATTTTTTCCCACAATATTAATCATTTCCCTCTTTCAATTATTTGTTTATATATCTGTCATGTATATTAGAATATGCTGAGAATATGGAGTATATTTCTAATGACCTTCTTTGTTCTTTTGGGCATGTGTACATTTGGGCCTGCTTAGTTCTTAAGGAACTCAAGCCCAAACTTGCTCTTGTGGCATTTTGAAGAGTCCAGTCTTGCCATGGCCGCATCTCTCAAGTCGTTGGGCCTACCTTGTTGGGGCCTAATCATCAGAGTCCAGTCCTCTCTCCCTACCTCTTTCGTTACTTTGCTTCATTTCCATAACTTAGTTTACTACTTTCATCATCTTTTGCTTACTACCCTTATTGTTGTTTTTATCATATGATGTCCTCTTGTATTTAACAATCGTATATTAGATTATGTACTTTACTTCCGTGCTCTAGTATTACATGAAATTTAGGCAAACCTTAATTAATATAGGACTTAAAAGGACCTAGCTAGTAATTGATCTTCGCCTCTTATTAATTCCAACATGTTCATCTTATACACTCACTTTTCTTGAAGATTTTGAAGCTCAGGTCTTTAATTAGAACGACATCCCATTTTCAAAGAAAATTAGGAAACAATCACTGATTTTCACTAAGAAGGAATGAAATCAGATTTTCATAAAAAAAGCAGTAACAGACAGTCTCAAATAAATTTCCAAAGACTCGCTTCTTCAGATTTTTTGAAAACCAAGGTACATTTGAAAATCATCTTTCTTACAAACAACTCTTAAGATTACTCTAGCATCTATTCTTCAAAGATAATCACTTTTTCTAACCTAATAATTCAAGCTTTAAAATATAAACCACATTCAAAACTCTCTTAGCCTCCAATAACTCTTTTATAATCTCATACCCTTCTTAAGTCTTACACATACACATTCCCTTTAGTATATAGCGAGCCTTGCCTTAGTAATAATCAAAGCATAGTATAAATAACAGAGCCTTTAAATTAGTCTAAGTCCTATGGAGCTACCTCAGGTAGATTTTAAGGGGTTCCTAACACCTTCTCCTTAGAAGAACAAAAACCCTTACCTATAATCTCACCGGTTTGTAGACCTGTAATGACCATAACTTAGTAATTAAATAGGTACTATAGTATACCTTTAAATATTAGGTGACGACTCTCTTTCATCAACAACAGAGAAACCACAAGTTAAATCCTATCTTGACTAGTGCAAAATAGGGTGCAACAACATGACGACTCTGCTGGGGATTTCACACTTATGTTTTGACCTTAGCAGACTTATATTAATTTGGCCTCTAGATTTATTTATATCTTTCTTTGATTATAAGCAAAATTACAATTACATGCTTACATCCCTTATTTGCTCTTTATAATTATTTTCTCTTTATGATCACCATGCTTATTGTTGCTACACCCATATTTGTTACTGCTCTATATACATTGTCATCACATCTCTTCCAATCGAGTCTTGGCCATACATTATCACACACAATGCCATGTGAGGGTTGTCTTTTACACCCCTCCGAACCTTCTTTTCAAAACTCTCTAGTTTCATAGAATGTCTTTGTCAGGTCAACTAACATAACTTCTCGCGGCTTTCAGTCCAACTCAAAAATAGGAAACACTCTACTATAGTAAAATAGGTCATACTGTATAAACCCTAGGTGAGTCAGTCCTTGGTACCGACATACGATTAGGAAAGCCACCTTGATGTCAACGGGCCATGCACTCAATGGAGTAATTTCTGTGGAAAGTAAACAGACATGACAAGATACTTAAGGATCTGACGCAAACACTTACCCAAATATCTTTCATTTACCCACCTTAGAAAACTGGAAATCAACCAAAACATCCCTGAAATCGCCATGGTAATGGGAGTACCACATAAGCTCAAATAGTGGTGGAAGAATATTCATCGGGAACACGGAGACAAGGTTCGGACGCACCTAGGGGCATTAACTAAATTGATGAACATCCGAGTAGACAGGTTGCTCACTCGTCTGTTGGTAGAATTTTGGGATCCAACTAAGGTGGTGTTCAAATTTGCCGACTGTGAGCTGGTACCGACATTGGAAGAAGTCACAAGTTTCACGGAGCTACCATTCAACAGAAGAACGCCAATATTGCCAGTTACTATGCCTGGTTATCGATTCTTGCATGCATTAAGTCTTACCAACAGCAGAAGCCTCTGAAGTATCGAGGATGGATGGGTGAGCCTCGACCAGATATTCGACAGATTTGGGCACCGTGAAAGCTACAAATGGTATTCAAGGGAGTTTCAATGTGACCAGGAGACATGGGAGGGTCTCAGGCCTATCACATTCGTAATGGCACTGTTGGGATTATTGGTCTTCCCACAGTGAAGGGGTTGTATCAACATCAACCTATTACCAGTGGTCCTGGCAACCTTCCGCGATAATCTTCAAGCTACTTTGGTACCGATGGTGTTAGCTGAGATGCTGAGAGCTTTGTCCGCATGTGCACGAGGGTATGATTTCTTTAAGGGTTGTAACTTGTTGCTTCAGATCTAGGCTACTGAACACTTCTTCCAGCGAGAGGCCATTCGTAGGTGTCAGCAATATGATCCGCGGCCACACTAAAAGAATGAGACACTGGATCTTCCCACATAGGCAAGAATAATGTAGGGAAACACTGACCAATCTGACCGGGGAATGGATCAACTTGAAACTCTCTCTTGGTTAGGTAGAAGGGCAATCTTGAGGACTCTTCAGAAGTACTTCATTGAGTTGATCGGACTAGAATGCATTCAACGATACTCACCCTTGCGGGTCCTCAAACAATTTGAGATGATCCAAGATGTGCCTCTATGGACAAGGACGACGATGTACGAGGATGAGTACAATGGTCAGATCCCAATTCCCAAGATAAGAAGACTGCAAGAAGAGTGAAATGACCTGGTGACAATTCATATAGGTAAAAACTCATGGTAAACTCCCGAGTATTACATATGGATTAACGAAGAATAAGAACTGGACCGCCCAAGAAGAGAGGGTATAGCCTAGTTAGAGGACACAGTGGTTGCCTTGTAGATTTATCATGAGATCCTGCCGCATTAGCTTGTGACCATATCAATGCATCGTCAGGTGGTCCTAGGATCCATTGACCATATGTTGTCACCGACTGAAGATGATGATCGGGTAGTGGAGTGCATCAAAATAGAGTCAAGCATAGAACTAGAGGAAGATTCGAATGAGGATTCTAAATTCAACGATGATGGGGAGGAGTTGAGGAAGACCCGGAGGAGGATCTAGAAGAGGAGCCAGAAGAAGAGAAGGGCACATGAAACAACTTTTTTTTTAATTCCCTCCCAAATTAGGAGGATCTATCAGGGGATGGTTATTATAGTTGGTTGATTTCCCCTCTTTCCCCACTTTGTACCTTTATCCATAGTTTTTTATTTCCAAAAAGGGCGAATTGTCCAAGCCCATGCAGTTCTACGAAATAATGATGTAACCCTTGTTCCCACTTGTATCAATCCAAATTATCATTGAAACTAATTGCTTTGGATCTAAATACATCAAGTCTAAATGTCTGTCAAATTTTCGCGAATTAGGCCAACCTCCGGCAATGAGAGGTCCCCGTGAATTCTAGGAACGCTCTAGTTGTAATGCACTAATTATCTGCTCTGTGTGATTTGTTGCCCGCATAAATGAAGAAATTGACTTTTGTTCCTTTTCTTTTCTTTCTTCTTAATTTTTTTGCCTTACTATAATCCCCAAAAAGAAAAGAAAAGAAAGTTGGTTTATGTCGACCAAAACTGGCGGAGCCACCATACTATCTAAGGTCAAAGGGAAAGATGTCAGCCGCATAAGACCCAACTGAACATGCTCTGGTCATAGCCGACAGCCCAGAGTGATCGGGGAAAAAGGAAAACATTGAAAATGATGAACACGTGGCTAGGATGACCTAGGAAATGGAGTCCTTAAGGGAGGAGGTACAACATATCGGAGAACTGGCGCACCTGGCCGTGACAACACTTCCTCAGCCACCTAGATTCCCTTCTTTGGATTCAGTTCCAGATCATTTTCCTTCCACATCACGCCAAAACAACGAAACTCCAACTTCAACTCCCACCACTCAAGTCATACCTCCAGTAACCCCCGCTAACCCACCAAATCCCCCTATTCACACTCCTTACATACCACAATACACTCAGACATCACAAAACCCGTCTATTACCACTAATGCAATTACCCCTCCTCGTGACAGAGTCATTTTCACCACTAACCAGCACATACCTGTGGCACATGCCGCCACCCATGAGCGGTACATTCCCCCTGTATATGCCATTTCTGAACCTACCTTTACAACACCTGTCACGGTCAAGGTGTCTTATGAGATTGATCAATACGCCGATATGGAGAGAGAAGCCAAGCGTAAGGAAAAAGAGTCGGTGCCTGAGCTGTTGCAAATGTTGAGAAGGCAAATGAAGAGCGTCCAAATTGCCTGAGGAACTGAAAGTTTGGACTATTAGGACTTGTATATTCATCCAAATGTTGATATGCGAGCAGGGTACAAACCCCCCAAAGTTTGATATCTTCGATGGGATGGGGGACTCTCACGCACATTTGAGGGCTTATTGTGACAAGTTGGTCGGAGTGGGAAAGAACGAGAAGCTAAGGATGAAATTATTTATAAGAAGTTTGACAGGAGAAGCATTCCCCTGATATACCTGACAGGATCCACGAAATTGGAGAACTTGGCAATATATGGCGAGGGACTTCATGAATATTTTTCAATTCAATACAGAGATCACTCCTGATCGGTTCAGACTGGTGAACCTGTAGAAAAACCCTTCTGAGTCATTTCAAGAATATGCGCGACGATGGAGGTCGGAGGTTGCTAGGGCGCAACCTCCGCTGGATGACAGTGAGCTAACCAAGTATTTCATTCGAGCCCAAGAGGGAATATACTTTGAAAGGATGATGGGAATGATGGGTCAAAAGTTCCCCGAGCTAGTCAAGATGGGAGATTTCTTAGAAGAGGGCATGAAATCTAGTAAAGTGCAATCTATGGTAGCACTACAAGCGGCCAGCAAGGCCATCCAGTCAGGGTCAATCATTATAGAAAGAAGAAGAAAGATGAGGTCTCAGCAGTCGTACTTTACTACCAAACCAACCCACCTCATGGAAGCACCTCTTATTCCCCAAACAACCACTCAACACTACCCACAGCTCCAGTCTATAATACCCAGCCATATTACCACTCTCAACAACAATACAACCCTCCTTGAGCCAATAACAACCAAAACCCACAACGACCATATGCTCATGTCCAAACCACAACTCATCAAAACTGACTTGTTTATGCACCACGTCCTTGTCCCAACTTTAAAGAGAGGGGTCCTAGAACTTATACCCTGATTGTTGAGCCTCTGGACCAACTGTTCGAAAGGTTGAGAAGAGCAGGATTGATACACCCAATCGAGGGAATGGTTCCTCAGCATCCCTCCAGATATTTTGATGCCACTAAAAGACGCGTGTATCATTCCAATGTACCTGGGCACGATACTGAAGACTGTTTCAAGTTAAAAAATGAAATTGAAACCCTGATCAAGAGCAGAGCCATTCAATGCACTCCGGCACCACCTAATGTGAATCGTAACCCACTGCCAAATCATCGAATCCAAGGAGCTAACATGATCACATTAGACTAAGAATATGACCTGAAGGGAACAATTGTCACTATAGGGAATGTAAAAACCGCAAGGATCCCTCCTCAAAGGCTGTGATCATTACAGTACAACTAAGGCCTAAAGTGACAGTTCAAACCTATCTGCAACAACCTGCCAATACTACTTGGGGCAAAGAAGATCGGGAGTACAAAACCGTCCCACAGACGTACCAGCAAAAGGGAAAGGCCAAAATGACAAACTTTGCCATAGCCCATGGTATGACTAGGTCTAGGAGATGCTACTCCCCTGAATATGTCCATCGAGGTAACTCGGGGAGAGAACAAATTCTGAGGAGGAACATAACAGCCATAGAAGCCATTGAGTTTTGGAAAAGAATGTCAAGCAAAGAGTATTATTTGGAAGAGTAGTTGAAGAAAACTCTAGCACATATATCTATCATGGATCTATTAATGAGATCTGAAAGCCATAAGGATGCTATGTTGAAAGTACTAAGTGGGGTAAGTATACGAAGTAACACTAGTAGCGAGGCATTGGCAACGACAATTGGAAAAATGGTCGAAGCAAACATGATAACTTTCAAAAGAGACAAACTTCATGTTGAAGGCGGAAGTCACAACAAGGCTCTTCACATCACTGTCAAATGCGGGGACAAAGTGGTGTCCTGTGTACTAGTCGATGGAGGATCAGGAGTCAATATTTGTCCTCTCTCCACGTTGCAGGAGTTGGAATTTATTTGAGGGAGGTCAAGAAAAGCCACGTAAGGGTGAGAGCCTTTGATGGTTCACAAAAGAATGTTATTGGAGAAATTTATCTAACTTTGCAAATCTGGCCGGTCAATTTTCCAGTATTATTTCAAGTAATGGACATCTCCCCTTCCTACAACTTGCTACTAGGCAGACCCTGGATACATATGGTAGTGATCGTGCCGTCTACCTTGCACCAATGCATAAAATTCGAGTGGGGATACCAAGAAATCGTGGTTCACGTCGAGTGGGGTCACTCCGCCTATTTGTAATATGATGTCCCATTTATTGAAGGGCTGGACGGAGTCGCCTTCTATGCTGTGGAAATCATGAAGACTACTGAGATGGAGAAGACTGAGCAAAATTTGGGAATGCAGTCGCCGTATAGATCCAAGAAGGCTATGAGCGAGATGATGAAATATGGATACAAGCCAGAAACATGGTTGGGAGCCAAGTCAGATGGAATCACAGAGCCAATTGAACACAATGGGAAGAAAGGAAGGGCTGGTATAGGATATCAGCCTCTAGAAGGGAAATCTCATGTCGTTAGCTCTGGGAAAAAGGTTTTTGTGCCAGAGTATGTTGCAAGTCCGGGACAGAGTTCAACACCCGAAGATGATATCATCGACGGGATGAAAAACTTGTTCGTGAATATGATTGAAAAATGTTGTAAAGGAACTGACATCAAGACACCGACTATCAGGGATGCGAACCAGCAAAAAAGCTGCAAAATTGGACAACCAATCCATCTTTGGTTCGTCGGGAGTCTTGGTACTATGGAACTATAAAAGTTTTCTTTTGAAAAGAGCACAGTCAATTGAGGCATGTACTGTGTATGTACCTTTTTGTCATTTGCCTCTTGTGAATGCTTAAGACGTTCCTCTTTTGAATAAATAAAAGAACCATTTTCATAAATATAACAACTTTGTTTTACCGTTTTATTTATACTTTGTTTTTCTTTTTAGTAATCAAACAGATAAAAACCCGCGTTCCACGATTATGACATGTAACGAAACTGTCGATCGCAATGACTCGGATTATGAGGAATATGATGAGAGTGTCATGTTAGACAATCTCCCGCAGTAGATCGAGCACTTGGAGAGTCAGAAGAAGGCCAATCTCGAAGAAATAGAAGTGGCCAATCTTGGAAGCGAAGAAGAAGTAAAAGAAACCAGAATCAGCATTCACCTAGAAGCTGAGCAGAAGGAAAAAAATGATTGAGCTCCTACGATAGTACGCCGACGTGTTCACATGGTCCTATGATGACATGCCAGGATTAAGCACCAACATTGTCTCTCATCGACTGCCCACTGACCCTACCACATCGCCAGTCAAGCAGAAGTCCTGAAAGTTCAAACCGGATTTAAGTCTGAGGATAAAAGAAGAAGTGACCAAACAGATAAAAACAAATGTAGTAAGGGTCACCAACTATATAAGATGGTTGGCAAACATCGTCCCAGTGCCAAAAAAGGACAGAAAGATCAGAATATGTGTAGACTACTGAGATCTCAACAAAGCTATTCCAAAGGATGATTTCCCCTTCCAAATATCCACATCCCCATCGACAATTGTGCTAAGCATGAACTGCAGTCGTTTATGGATTGTTTCGCTGGATACCACCAAATCTTAATGCACAAGGAAGACGCAGAGAAGACAACTTTCACCATGCCTTGCAGAGTTAACTGTTATAGAGTTATGCCGTTCGGTCTCAAGAACGCCGACACCACCTACATGAGGGCCATGACGACCCTCTTTCACGACATGATTTATAAGGAGATTGAAGGGTATGTGGATGACATTATCATAAAATCTCGAAGGAGTTCAGATCACTTGGACGACTTGAGGAATTTTTTCGAACGCCTGCGAAGGTAAAGTTTGAAGTTGAACCCAGCAAAGTGTGCGTTCGGAGTCCCCGTTGGGAAACTATTGGATTTCATTGTAAGCATGAAGGGGATAGAAATGGATCCATCAAAAGTTAAGGCCATCCAGTAATTACCGCCACCAAAGAGCAAAAAAGATGTCATGAATTTTCTGGGCAGACTTAATTACATTAGTCATTTCATAGCCCAGCTCACGGTAATCTGTGAACCCATTTTCAAGCTGCTAAAGAAGGATGCTGGCACGAAATAGACGGAGGAGTGCCAGAAAGCCTTCGACAGAATCAAAGAGTATCTTTCGAACCTGCCAGTGTTGGTTCCCCCTGAACCAGGGAAACCATTGTTACTCTATTTGTGACTCTTGGACAATGCATTCAGTTGTGTGTTGGGGTAGCATGACAAAACTTGGAGAAAGGAACATGCCATCTTCTACTTAAGCAAGAAGTTCACACAATGTGAGGCCAAGTATACCTTAATAGAATGCACTTATTGTGCTTTGACCTGGATTAATCAGAAGGTAAGGCATTATATGTCGGCATACACTACGCATCTGATATCTCGGCTCGACCCGCTCAAGTACATTTTTCAAAAGCCAATGCCTACCGGGAAGCAAGCTAAATGGAAAATTTTCCTCAATGAATTTGACATTATGTACATAACTCAGAAGGCTATCAAAGGGCAAGCTTTAGCTAACCACCTCACCTAGAATCTAGTAGATGGATATTACGAACCGCTTACCACGCATTTCCCCGATGAAGAAGTACTATTTGCCGGGGAGGATATTGCTGAATCATACCTTGGGTGAAGAATGTTTTTCGATGGAGCAACAAACTTCAAAGGAGTCAAAATTGGGGCATTCCTAATTTTGGAATCTGGACAACACTATCCAGCATCGGCAAAGATAATATGGCTGAATACGAGGCGTGCATCCTTGGGATCAGAATGGTAGTCGACATGAACATCAAAGAACTTTTGGTCATAGGAGATTCCGATTTGTGGAAACACCAAGTCCAAGGAGAATGGTCCACCAAGAATATTAAGATACTGTCGTACCTTCACTGCGTGAAGGAGCTGTGCAAAAAGTTCACAAAGATTGAGTTCAGGCACGTCCCCAGAATTTAGAACGAGTTCGCCGACACCCTTGCAACCTTATCATCTATGATTCAACATCGAGACAAGAATTACATTGACCCAA